AAGAACCCCTACACCCCAAAGCCTAGAAGAGCACAGCAAAAATGGTAGGACGTGGCCTCACGCCCACTTGTGGCACCACCAGCTGCGCCGAGAAAGGCAGGGGCGCAACGGGACCTAGCGACACACCTAGACCCTACCCCGCAAGGCACGGCGGACTGCTGCGCAGCTCAAGCCTAAAGGCTGGTCCTGGCAGAGGGAGACCCTGTCTGCTACAGCAAAGCGTCAGCGAGGAGTGGGGGCCACCTCCAAGCTGACTGCGGTCTATGGCGGCAAGAATGCTACAAGCTGGGATTCGTGAGGCCTAGAACCTTGGGGCCCCCAGGCTAAAACGTTTCAGAAAACAAACTCGCGCCGACTTGAGCCAGAGCAGCGTGAGCCATTCCTTTTCCTTTTGTCGGGAGGCGGCGAGCGTCCGCGGCCCGTGGGCCCTCGTCGTGCACCGAATTAACCGTGCTTTGCACGGTCATCCTCCTTTGGAGGGCATCGCCCGTGGGCGGAACAGGCTACAGCCTACGGGAGAGATGCTCATCCCTGATGTGCTAAGGAGTGCAAGCACATCCTGGGGAGTGTAACACGTCCCCGCCCTGAGCTACGGCTCTACGGCAAGACTGACAGGGCGGCAGCACATCGAGGAGTGTGACACGTCCTCAAACCAGGAGTGGAACACGTCCTGGAGGGAGTCGAAACATCCCATACCTCTAGCCCTAGGTGGGCCCTCTGAAAGAGGCGAGGTATTCTGCGACGGCCAGCACGTGAGCTGCCGTCATGAGGTGTGCCTGCATGTGTTCCGGGCTGGGTGCCCTCACACGACATGCCATGCACCAGAGCATGTCCACGCTCACCACTGGGGGGGTGCTGTCCTGATGCAGCTCGACCCCCTCGGCTGTGGTGGCATACAGCCTGGCCGTTGTCGACGGCACCCTCATCCACAAGGCGTCTCCCACAGGGAGCGGTGTCGACGTCTCTTTTGGGAGGAGTCGCAGGGCCCCCCAAGTTACAGCCTGTGCGCATGTCCAGGACTTCCGTGGGGGTTGCATGTCCTGGCACAGGCAGTCTGATTCTGATAACCTGCAGCTGCCCGGCACTCCACGTCGAGGCGGTAGAGCCATTCCGGAGGCGGCAGAGGGTTAGGCCTCTGCCGGGCTCTCGGCCTCCGCCGCCAGAAGGGAGTCGGCATCATCCCCTGCCGGGGGATGACTGGTGGATCCGGCCGCCTCCCCATCTGTGTCCATTCTAACCAGGCTGCTCAGGTGGCGGGGATCCTTCCTTGCGGGGAGGGGTGCTGGCGGAGCTGGGTGCTCCGGCGGTTGCTGCGAGGCGTCTTCCCTCCGTAGAGGGGGAGTGGGAGGGGAAGGTGGCACCTCTGCAGCCGGGTTGGTCCCGGTCGTGCCGGCAGTTGCCGTGTCGGCAGGGAGGTGAGGGGTGCTGTACCGCCCTCGTGCCGGTTTTTGTCCCGTCTCGTCCGGGGGAAGTTGGCTCCTTGTCCGGCGTGCCCATGGCATCATCTGCCTGCTCCTCCTCCAACTCCAGCCTCCATCTTGAGGCGGTTGCGCCTCGGCGGAGATCCGCGCCTCCGTGGGCTTCCTGCACCCCGGCCCCCAGCCTCTGGTAGCCGAACCCGGCCAAGGCAGGCTAAGGGGCAGGACCGAAGGGTCCTTCGGAGCTCTGACTTCAGACAGGCCCAGCAATCTCGCCGCCAAGGCTGGAATGTCATGCCTCAAACCCTGCCCGCTTTGCAACGGTTGCTGCCTGGAAATCAGCGACTACCTCACGGGATGTTTGCATTGCTCAGCCCTCTTTCCAACGGAAAGGTTCTCTCAACCCCTCCCTCACCGTCGAGGGAGGGAATACAACCACTGAGGTCTCCGAGCGGCCCTCTACCCAGCCGCAAACGGGGCAGTGCTCCCCCGGGGGACTCGACGCCTCAGAGGACCTAAGGTCCCAAACCAAAACCAGGGTTGGTTGGGGAGGGCCCCGAAAACGGCGCCCAGCAGCCTCAGCAAAGCCCTCACCGCTACAGCCCATTGCAGAGCGCACTGCGGCGGAGAGCCTCGATCGTGGCTTTCGGCGAAGCGGTGGAGACGGAACCTGAAGGCAGTCTCGCATACCGCCTCGGGTGGGACCTCCTCGAGGGCCTTCAAGGGTCTGCCGCTCAGGGAGCCATTTCCCCTGCCGACCCCATCCACATCACAAGCGCCAATGTGACCACCTGGAAGAAGGAACTGCTCACTTGGCACCCGGCCACAAAGGGAATCCTAGCACTGCAGGAGTTGCACCTCAACGCCGAGGGCCTCAATCAGCTCCGCATCGAGGCTTCCAAGTGCGGTTTCCACCTTTTCACACCGCCAAAGGGCGATCGGCCCTACCCCACTCGTGGTGGCATCGGCCTTTTGGGCCCCGGCCACATGCAGGGTCGAGCCTGTGGGGGCATGATCACGGAGGAGGGCTGCGGCTACGTGGCGGTCCGCCCGCAAGGCAGAAGAAGGGGGGCCAAAGGGCACGACACCAACCCGTCCTGGACCGCGAGGCCGCGGCATGGGGCGAGAAAGGGACTTCCCACATCGTTTTGATGCTGGTTAAAGAAGCCAGCGGCCGCGCCACCAGGGCATAATCCAGGGTATTGCCCGTGTTGATGGTGGGACCCTCAGGCGCCAGAGAGCTCCTCCCACGGTCTCGGCCCAGGCAGTGCCCTGAAAATCGGAGGGAGGCACGCCACTTCACCACCGACGGAGGGAGAGGCACCAACAAAAGCCCCTCATGCAGCAAGATTGGTCCTACCCGTGGCGGGGCCGTACAGCTGCTTTCTGGAGCCGCATGGCCTCTTTCTGGGAGCACCGGCAAAGCACATCCGGAAAATTGAAGTGTTGGTGAGCAACATGCCGGCTGAGGCGGTGGCGGCGACCACCCTCCACCTCACACAGCAAGGGATTGAGGCCTCCTCTCCCCAGGATTTCCTCCGCACCCTTGGGCGGTCGGAGGGGGCCCTTTCCACCACCCTTGCAGTGGTCCGCCAGCTCCGCGACGAGGAGCACCAAAGGGCCCGGAAGGCCGAAACCGATGCGGTGGCCGAATGGCTCGCCGCGGGCACCCGGCGGGGCATGCGACCGTTGTTTCGCTGCCTGTCAAAGGCGGAGACCAACGTGGCGAGGCCCTTCGCCGAGGTGGCAGCAGAGTCGCGGCCTTACGAGCGACTCAAGTACTGGGCCACTCTGTGGCAGGCCCGGGGAAGGCCAGCCCCTGCCTCTCAGGGCTTCGCCAACAGGCCGTGGAGCAAGCCTGGCAGCTGCCCGCGGTCACGGGGCACCAAATGTACCGGTACATCCGCTCGATGCCGTGCAAGGCCCCAGGGCTGGACGGGTGGGATGTCCCCTTTTTGAAATCCCTCTCCATCGAGGAAGTCCATACCCTCGCTGACCTATGGAGGGAGGTGGAGCTGGAGGGCGTCCTCCCACACCAAGCCTCTTTCACCCAGTACGTGATGCCCCCGAAAAATGAGAAGGTGGAGAGGCCAATCGGCCTGATGTCCACCTTCCTGAAATTAGGCATTAAGTGTCGGTGGTGGGATTCGGCCCTGCCATCCCGCAGCACCCACGATGCATCCCTGCGGCGCGCGTTTCTGTACGAGGCGTGCCGAGTCGACAAGGTGCACCGTTGCACCATTTTCTTCGATTTGAGCACCTTTTATGAACGCGTGAGCCACGAAAAGTTGTGCGAAGAAGCAGCCCAATGGGGCTTTCCGCCGCTTCTTCTCAACTTAGGGATGCAAGCCTATCGTGGCGGTCGCATCGTGACTGCCGACTCCGTCGCATCACCATGCATTTACGCAGCGAGAGGAATAGTAGCGGGTTGTCCGCTAGCTCCTCTCCTATCGAAGCTATCGATAGGAAAGCCCATCAGGGCTGCTTGCACAGGCACCCTGGCGGACTACGTAGGGTGCTGGGTGGACGACGTCTCGGCAGATGTCGTTCACAAAACCCCGGAGCGCGCCGCCGCCGGGATCGTTACCCGTTACCCTCTTCCGTCGTCTCCACGACGCGTTGGAGGCAGAGGGCAATGAGGTGTCTGCCTCAAAGACACATTTCCTGGCCAGCTCAGGCGGAACGCGCACTCCGCCGAAAACTGGGGAAGGGCGACCCCCCGGTGCGCCAAACCACCAAGGACCTTGGCATGGAAACGGCAGCCGGGCGGCGCCGCACTACCTTCCAGTCGGCGGCGCGTCGCTTGAAGGCCAACCGGCGTTTCGCGAAGCTCCAGTCGCTCCGCTTGCCGGCCCTCAGGGTCCGGTCCCGGCTTTTCTCCATGAGCGTCATGGCGTCGGGAAACTGGGGACACCAGTCCCAAGGGGTTTCGCCCAAGGTCATGCCTCCGCTTTCAGGCCGCGCAAGTGTGTAGGTGGGTGATGACTGGCAGTGTGGAGGTTGCGCTTGAGCTTGGTGGCCCACCAACAAAAGACCCGCGCACCTCCATCATCGGCCAGCACTGGGCTGCCCTCGGCAAAGTCCTCTGCGCGCTGCCGGACCGCGAGCAGTTGGAGCGCACGTGCGCAGCTCCAGCGGAAGGACCGGTGGAAGGTCATATGCGGGCCGGTGGGCGCCATGATCGGATACCTGTTGGAATTGAGGGTTGAGGCCTCCTCCCCTCACCGGTGGCTCTTCCCGGCGGATTTATGCCCCGCCACGATGGCCGGGCAGTTAGTGGGGGAGCAGCAGGTGGCCTGGACCCCCTGGCTCACCAACCAATCAAGGCGTGCCTTCTCGGATCGACCACACTGTCCGGCGCCAGCTGACCAAGGGCAGGACCAGCAACGCCCGCGCCGGTGCCCTTCGTATGGTGCACCAAGGGGCAATGCGTTCCCGGCTGATTCGGCCTGGCGAGCAGGTCCAAAGACTTTCGAAGGGGTAAGTCTCCCTGAGCCGTGCCCGGTGCGGGTGGGGAGCGGCCCTTCCACCACAAGCACTCCTGAGCAATGTGCAGGGGAGTAAGCTCCACCCTGCACAAAGGGCACTCTTTCCGGCAAAAGCCTCCCACACGTGGGGCCCGGAGAGTGAGGAGGTCACCGGGGTGGCTGCTGACAGGGAGTGGGCCCCTGAGTACCTCTACGGCACGGACGGGACTGCGGGCGGTCACGGCAACGACCCTTGCGGCGGCCGCGTAGCAGCGTGGAGCGTGGTCATCTTCCAGCGCGCCCCCGACGGGCTCAAACAGGTCGGGTCCGCATGCGGCGTCCTGCCGCCGGGCACCACGGTGCCCCAGGCCGAAGCTTACGCGATCGCGCGCGTTTGTGCCCGCACCCCGGGGGTCGCGGACATCACCACCGACTGTTTTGGGATGTTGCGGCAGCAGAAGTCCTTGGTGGTCAACTGGCCATGGCTACAGGGGGGCGATCGCCGCGCGCACGCCTCACTGACGAGGTCACACGTGACCGAGGACGAATTCCGCGCTGAATTCGGGGAGTCCTCTCTCTGGAGGAAGCAGGTGAACGACGCGGCCGACCACCTCTGCCAAAAAGCGGGCCACGGCCCAAGCGGGACAATGGTGCCCGGACGAGATCGATGACCTCGTGCGTGAGGTGACGCTGTTCCAATCCCTGTTCAAAGCAACTGACCTTCCGTTCGTTGGTATCTAACCTTCTGACCTTTTCGTTTTGGGAGCATTAAGGGGCTTTGAAAGCAGGATTTAAAGTGAGCATTGAAGACCATGAACAGTGAACAGTGGACAGCAACAGCAGCAAGTGCAGGAGCAGCAGCAGCCGGAACAGATTGCAACTTGGAATGGGGGGTGGGGGGCAGGGAAAGCTCATCAACGATGTCATGAATATATTGTTGCCAGAGGGAATATACACGACACTGTTCTCTGTAGTAGTAGTAGTAGTAGTAGTAGCAGCAGCAGCAGGAGTAGTAGTAGTGGTAGTACCAGCAGCAGCAGGAGTAGTAGCAGCAGCAGCAGGAGTAGTAGCAGTAGTAGTAGTAGTAGTAGTAGTAGTAGAAGTGGTAGTAGTGGTAGGTGGTAGTTGTGGTCGTCATGGTAGTTGTAGCGGTAGTGGTAGTGGTAGTGAAAATGGTAGTGGTAGTAGTACAGTATAAAGTGGTAGTAGTAGTAGTAGTCGTAGTACTAGTAATAGTCGCAGTAACGACACTGTCCCCTGTCCAATGTGCATGTGCTCGCGCGCGCTGTTGACTGTGCTCGCCCACGCTGCGCGCGCACTGCGCGCACACTGCGCGCACACTGCGCGCACACTGCGCGCGCGCGCTGTTGCCTGTGCTCGCACACACTGCGCGCGCTGTTGCCTGTGCTCACCCACGCTGCGCGCGCACTGTTGCATGTGCTCGCACCCGCTGCGCGCGCACTGCGCGCGCACTGCCCGCGCGCTGTTGCCTGTGCTCGCACCCGCTGCGCGCGCACTGCGCGCGCACTGCGCGCGCGCTGTTGCCTGTGCTCGCACACACTGCGCACGCTGTTGCCTGTGCTCACCCACGCTGCGCGCGCACTGCGCGCGCACTGTTGCCTGTGCTCGCCCACGCTGCGCACGCACTGCGCGCGCACTGCGCGCGCACCGTTGCCTGCTCACCCCAGCTGCGCGCGCACTGCGCGCACACTGCGCGCGCACTGCGCGCGCACTGTTGCATGTGCTCGCACACACTGCGCGGACTGTTGCCTGTGCTCACCCACGCTGCGCGCGCACTGCGCGCGCACTGTTGCCTGTGCTCACCCACGCTGCGCGCGCACTGCGCGCGCACTGCGCGCGCGCTGTTGCCTGTGCTCGCCCACGCTGCGCGCACACTGCGCCCGCACTGCGCGCGCGCTGTTGCCTGTGCTCACCCACGCTGCGCGCGCACTGCGCGCGCACTGTTGCCTGTGCTCGCCCACGCTGCGCGCGCACTGCGCACACACTGCGCGCGCACTGTTGCATGTGCTCGCACCCGCTGCGCGCCCACTGCGCGCGCACTGTTGCATGTGCTCGCACGCGCTATTGCCTGTGCTCGCACACGCTGCGCGCGCGCTGTTGCCTAATGCGCGCGCGCTGTTGCTTATGCCACTACCACTACCACCACTATCACTACTACTGCCACTACCGCTACCGCTACCGCTACCACTACCACTACCACTACCACTACCACTACCACTACCACTACCACCACCACCACTACTACTACTACCACTACTACCACTACTACTACTGCCACACTGCTGCTGCTTCTGCCACTACTACCACTACCACTACTGCTGCTGCTGCTGCTACTACTGCCACTACAACTGCTAGTATTACTATTACTACTAGTACTACTATTACTACCTATAATACTACCACTGCTTCTGGCAGTACTACCACCACTGCCACTTCGCTGCTACTGCTGCTGCTACTGCTGCGGCTGCTGCTGCTGACAATGGACAGTGGACAGTGTGTGTGACAGCGTCTGAGCTTGTCGAGGTATGACAGCAGCACCTGCACAACAGCACACTCCTAGCTTAGCCTTCACCCCCTAGAATCCCTCAGTTTCACCCCTAGCAAGCCCCGAATCCCTCCGCAAGCCCCGAATCCCTCCCCCACAATTAAAAAGGTCGCGAATTAACCGACCCCTCCTCCGGTTAATTCGCCTTTCCCCACCTTTTGCCCTGCCTTGGCACGATACCCTTTTAGACCTAATAACTGTCCACTGTCCACTGTCTACTGTCCACTGTTTGTTAGCAATGCCAGCCGTGACTGGAGACTTGCAGGCCGGCTGGGCACGTTTACTAATACAGAGTTTCATGTGCAGAAAATAGGCTTTTCAGGGTTAGCTTTCTGGGGGTATGTTTCAATGTGGAGGATTCAGACATTTTGTGGGTTGGACGAAATCTTTCATTGTCTTAAGCTTGTGCCCTGATCAGCACTTGTTACCAGTATGCTCATGCCCATCAGCAACAACATCACAGCTGCCCACACCCTCGACACTAACACCATAAATTGAACCGCCTGGTGTGACAGGTGAGGGGGGGGGGCGGGGCGGTCGATTAATGTACCCTAGGGGTAATCATTGAGATCATTCAGGCTTCCAGCTTACTCTGCAAGTGTGCTGTTGCTTTGAAGTTACATGTATCGGGGCTTCCTTTGTGCTTTTTAGCTGAAGGGTTACTGCATTGAGTAGGTTATTCAAATCATTTCAACCGCTATCAAAATGGCGGCTAGTACGCCAAATCCAGCCACAAGTGCTGGCCGCCAACAACATCATCATTGAATGCTTGGTTGTGTGTGATCTGCTTCGAGGAATGATGATTGGATAACTTCATGTCGCGTCAAACATAACCGTGTTACTTGAGTGCTTTGTTTTGTTCCAGAGATGCCTTCATGCGAAGTAACGGTGCCCTGATTCATTGATTCGCATCCCTAGAGTAGATAGAATGCTTTCTGTGAAACCCAATATACTACCACCTGCTCGCGCGCCCATTTCACTGTTCACTGTTTGCTGTGCATTGTCCACTGTACTGTAGCCAGTTGCATTGCCTGCGGGCTTGCTTGGCACATTTGCAGGGATAGCCTAACTCAGGTTGCATCGCCAGCACTCTGCATGGGCCCAACCCACCACAAACTTGCAGGGGCCCTTGCGGACCAGCCAACTGCAAGCGGCAGGTTAGGCCAACCAAATGCAGGGGCAATGCACCTCAACACAGGAATTCAGAATATGTTTGGGTGTTGTGAATGTTGTGAATCACGAGTAGTTGCCATCCCTATGATGTGAGACTTCATGGGCCTGACTGTGCTGCCCAAGCTTTTTTGCCTGCCTTGCGCTTCTTATGTCGCCAGGCATTCCTGCTCGCGTGGGACTTCACAGTGTCCTGGGAGCTTGGCATCTCGGCTGAGGCCGTGGAGTCGGGGCCTTTTGTAACAGTAGACAGTGGACAGTGCACAGGGGACACGGTCGTAGTAGTAGTAGTCGTACTAGCACTTGGCGAAGGAGGCGCGATAGGTTCTGGGTCTTGCTTTGGTGACATTGCTTCTGGATCATCGCTCGGCATAGCAAAGCATACTGCAACTGATGCATGCTCAAGGGCCTCCGCCACGTCTTCCTCGTTTGCATGGCAGTAGTGCCGCCTGAAGGTTCCCACGTCGAGCCGCTGCTGGATTTCCATGATGACATGCTCAGAGGCGCGTTGACCGCCCTCTGGGGTTTCAAGCAACAAGGCAGATGCAGTGTGTCTAGTAGCTCCATGCACTGTCACATGTGAGCCTTTGAATTTCACATTCCAACGTCTGCGGCCGTTGAGTGCGAACATCACTTTCGCGACATGGGTCACTGCTTTCCACACTGTTTGCCTGGCCATCCACGGTTGCTTTGCTTTTTTGGTTTGAGCTGGGAATATGTACCTGCTGCCAATGGGCCAGCAGAAGGCTTTGGACGAGCGTGGCGGAAAGTCTTGAAACACGCCTGGGTGGGACTTACTGAAGGGCTCAAGTGGGGGCAGCACACATCTCTGCACACCTTTGTCCATCACCTCCCTGAGTGTGCTGACAACATCCGGAGCAAGACGAGCAGCGATGCAGTCAGCCCCAAGTTTGCCCATTCCTTGGAAGTCTTTTTTGTCTTCCCGCTTTTGGAACAAGATGTGAGGAGCATCTTGCATGTGCCCTCCATCCAGGAAAACATCCGAACCTCGAAGTTGCAATGCCTCAGAAATTCGACGGGAGGTAACCATCGTGATCCATAATGCCATGACATACCGTGGCCCGGCAAAGTAAAGGCTGACTGCCAGGAACAGCAAAAGGTCTTCCCTGGGAACGAACAAATGCTGGAGGGCTGTCTTCGACAGCTTTTTACCTTTGTTCCATGGCTTGCGCTTGGCTTCTTGCACAGTGGACTGTGTCTTCGACCTTCTTTTCTGCAACTTGCCCTTTGCGTCTGGCACAGTGGACAGTGAACTGCAGGACAGTGAACTGGTTAGTCTTTTTCTGGGTGCCATGGGGGCTGGTGAAACACTACTACTGGATACTCTAATGTTGCCTTGAGCCAGGAGCTTCTGTTGCGTTGCACTTGGAGGGATGATGTCACACTGTTCGCTGTTCACTGTGAAAACCATTTGCCTTCAGACCCGAGCCCTACAATAACTATTCAACATCACATGAATGCTCCCCTGGCAGGTCCGAAAGCCAAGCTGCTGTCCACTGTTCACTGTTCAGCTGTCCACTGTTGACTGTTCACTGTCCTCGCCTGCAGCAGCGGCGCCGCGGCATTGGCTCCACGGCAAGGCCGGGTAAAGTGTCATCCCTAAACCCCCAAAATGCATGCATCAGCTTGCACTGTCTGCCTGCTTTGCTGCATGTTCACGCAGATTCAGATGAACTTTGCAGTGCTACCTTGCCGCCGGTGTTTAAATTCGACAAGACCACTGTGCCCTGTTCCCACTGTCCCTTGTTGACTGTACATATTTTGTTGTGTGCCTGAAGCAATGGCTGACACGGGTTCGGCGGCTGGATCCACGATTTCGACTGACGGCTTTGAGGCAAGGCAAGGGCACTTCTCTGTTTGAGCTGAGTATTGAATGCACTGCTTCAAATAGCCCAGACCCCAGCCTGTGCTGCA